TTATTTTTCTTTGTCGGTGGCCACCAATTAGGGCGCCATGCTCCCAAGCGATCCTAGCGGAGACCGTGGAAACTGGGGATAAGAATCGTGACGACTTTTATTGTATTCAAATGAGTCTCGTGACGAGCATGCGGCTTATTTTCGGCGATGACTGAAATGACGCATGTAAGTTGATCACGTTTTTAGCTGTTTGGCAATGATGCAATTTTCCCCGATTCGAGACCCTTCATTTTCGTGTAATTATCCACGCGTATTAAAAAGTCAATACCTCGATGAGGAAATATTGTAGCGGGGAAATCCTGTTTTGTAGTGTATTGAGGCGTTGCATTTTTCAGAATATTGTCGCAATTACTGAAACTCTACGGTTAAATAGATTCACTTTGTTGTATGTATTTTATTAATTGACAGATTTTCGCAGTTGCAAGATATGACGTTGCCTTGCGGCCTTATAAATACTTGAGATATTAATGACTTAACCTTCGACTACTACTGCAAGCAACTTCAGCTACCCTTCTGACGTTACGTATGCGTATGATGTGCTTAGACGGGTAGCTTTGTACTTGACCATCACACACTCTGCTTGCAGCACTTCATATCGGTCCATGTCCATAGAATAGAAATCCCATATCGAGCTTTTCCGGAACGGGTCGGTCCACGAACTCTATCGCTTGAAAGCGTTGATTACTTTAGAACAAGTGATTACTTCAGTGGCCCAAAAAAGATTAATCATCAGTTAATGAGCAAAACTTCAAGGTTTACTGGAAAATTAGGATCGAGAATCGGGGATCAGGCATCAGGGATCGAGGATCGTTTTAAAAAAACTTGAAATAAAATAAATTTTAAATAAATCATGGATCGTGATGATGTCATTGTGGGCCGCAGACTGTAGATAAATTTGACAATACATAATCCCGTTCGCTGTACTGAGCAATGGCTAAATTGAAGTACCATACGGTAAACTAGTCCGAGTCTGACTGAGTCAGTGATTGTTTTGACGAGAAAGTGAAATTTTCGTGGAAAAGGAAACGCTTTACCCCAGTGATACTGTGACAAAATGCATGTTGTGTACAGCTCTAAAAATTTTACTCTGAGTTCGCGTGAACATCAGCTGTATGGAGATATCAAAAGCAGATACTAAGCAGCTATGGAAAATGCAATTACTTTCATGCGATTTTGATATCTTATAAAACGGACAACAAATTCAACAGGAATACGCGCGAACTGAATTAAATGTCTGTTGTATAGGGTTCTGCTAAACTTACACATTTTTCCTGTACTGAACAAAAACTGTACCGAGCCGTATCTTGGTCCGCAACATAAAAGCTATATATATATTTATACTGATAAACATCATCGTTCAATTTTTTGAGTGTGAAATCCCAAAAGAGTTCCCCTCACTGGAGCAATATCAATATGTAAAAGGTTTCAAAGGTTTCACACCAGTGTGAAGCTAAGATGTGCGGCCTGTCTTTCATTCCAATGTTTACGTTGTGAAATTTACATTATGACATATATCATACTTGCTTTGTATTCAAAACGAAAATGTAGCATAACAGCACCAGCTCCTTTGACAACAAAACTTATCTCCAAGCCCCATGGGCTCCAAGCAAGCGAGACGCACACTACTAAGAGCGTTCTTGTTTCATTGCGTGATTGCGGTCGAGTTTGATTATTGAATATACAACAGATCCGTTCAGAGTACTGCATGCAGTGGACAGTTTAAAGGTCACCCATGAATTGCCAAGGGCGTAGCGTGACCATTTTGACAACTACGCACACGGGTCTACATGGTTTTAAAAACCTCGTACAAAATAGTGTTTTTTGCTTTCCTTAAATACACAATTGGCAGTTTACAGGCATGTTCACAATAGAACATGATATCAAAAAAGCTTTCAAAACGTTCTTCTTTGACATGAGCTAGCTGGTACAGGAGCATGTTTGTGTAAATTTCCGCACGCTTAGCCCTTTGCTGAATTTTTGCGTTTTTCCCTTATTTCGATCATGAGCACGGGACAGGAACAAACAATTGATAGCCAGCATTTATTTATTTTCAGTTGCTCTGAATATAAATGAAAAAAATACTACATCTGTTCACTAGGAGTAAATTTCATGCAATATTCTTGTTGACACCGCGCCAAACGTAGTTTGCTTCAACTTTATACGTGGATTATCGTCGGCATGGTTTTGCCCATAATTTTCCAGTTGAGCGACATTATAAAGTAGTCTTTAATAGACTTTTTTCGACATTTATGGAGGGAGAGAGAAAACTGATAAAATGAAAAGCTTTTGGATGGGAAAACTTTCCAAGTAAATCTTAAAAGGAGTGATAATCAGTCAGTCCATTTTTTTCCCGATTTTCATGAATACGCAATGTATTGTGGGATCGCCTGAAGGCAAACATTTCAAGAATGTTTCGAATTTATCACATTCCACTACTCAAACTGTTGTATTTTAAGTGTAAAAACGATGTTGAATAACAGAGAGACAGACAGGAAGAAATCTGCACAATACAAAGTGAAGTCACAACACTACAAATGGCTTTTACTAATAACAGAAAATCTTTTAAAAAATCTTACCAATTTCTCAAGTACGGACGTGCGTATTTGCGTAAAGGACGCTACGCCCCTGATTGCGATCAAAAATTGTGAAGCAGTTCTGTATCTAGAAGTTTCCAGACGATTCTTCTTTGTTTGCCAATTGATAATCGTGTTTCAGTTCTTGCATGAATTAAAGCAAAGGGGTAGTGACGTCACTGGACGGCATTAACAGTAGATTGATTCAGAAGTTGCTGAGGGAATAAAAACGACTCAAAGTAATCGTCTGAAATTCAGGCTATAACTATGCATTGTGATATAAGAACCGAAACATTTGGTAAATTTCTAGGTTTTCTTAGCCCCGGCTGTCAGTTCTTATCACTGAGCGATGGCTTCGTTAATCCGACCCCTGTTCGAGTACACGTTATTAGTGCCTCTCGGCCCAACCGTTTTAATCTGTGTTTTAGGAAATTGCGGTCAAAACAACCGACGCATCACATTTCTGGCACAAGCCAGTGGGTTTTACCTCGAAGGACACGTGTTTTCAAATCATTCTGTGGAACTAAAGTTAGACTGCCAAGACCAATGCGCCCTTGCCAGGGAGTGTGTTTCATATAATATTGGTCCAACGATCAACAACAAGTTGACCTGTGAACTCAGTAATTCAGATCACTTGCAGCACCCAGAAGATCTCAAACCAAGAAAAGACTGGATCTACAGAGGCACACAGGTAGGACGTACAATGGCTCAACCCAACTTTAAGAATTCACTATCACTATGTAGTAACGATTTGCTTGAATTTTATTCTAAAACGGTATCAGTTATAAAGTTAATGGGTCTACTGGAGATGCATACAATATAGGTTGGTTCACAATAGCCGTTATACCCATGAGTAAATGCCTGTTAACCACGGGGAAGCAACGTTTCTGGTGTCCCATTTTCCCAAAATGAAATTGTTAACCGGAAAATTTCCATGGATACATAAAAAAGAACAGAAGATGATGATAACAAACTAAGATGTTGATTCTTCCATACATTTCTTTTAAATTAGAATCCTTGCGCCACGAACCCCTGTCTCAACCATGGGACATGCTACATGGGATATACTGAGAAAAACTACGTTTGTGTTTGCCCAGCTGACTTTAGAGGTGAAAAATGCGAAGGTAAAACGTGTTCTGGTAACTTCAGTACAACCTTGTATTTGCTAAAATTCTCTTATTTATAACAAGGGTTTATGACACACATAAACAAGTATTATGATCAGTGAAACAATGCAAGAAGATCCTCCGGGACGACAATGAAGTGTTGCAGAAAATGCAATTAATTTCAAGACGCTGTTAAAGTCTTGTTGTTGTTGTTTTGTTTCGGGTTGAAACTTGCAGAAGAGCGTGCTATTTGTAATTTTTTGTTGCCACCCTTAACTTCCAACATTCGGGGTGGAACCCCACTTTACGAACACCCATATAATAGGACAGTTTCGTTTGTCGTAACCAATCAAATCAGCATCAATCCCAAACTTTCAATGCTCCCCCGCGGGGTAGTGCCTAAGAAAGGTGGCATCTGGTGCCTTATCACTGATATCTCTTCTCTCCTCGGTTCTTCAATTTATTATTACATACCTAAGGAAGCCTTCACTTTGCACTACGCTACCTTCCACCAAGCTCTCTCTCTAGCTGCACATCATCACGGCCCTCATGGCCAAACTTGGTCAAATACGCCTTCTGACACTGATCTGACCAGTCTGCCCGGAGAACTGCGAACCACTCAGCATCCAGTGGCAGGGCAACTTTTACATCGATCTTTGCCACCCCTTTGGCTTGCGATCCCATTCCTTGCCCCTTGCCCTTACTTCTGTAATCTCTTGGCCGACGCCTTTGAGTGGCTACTAAAGAACAACTATCACATTCAAGACCTCATGCATGAAAGTGATAACTATTTTACGGTTGGTTCTCCCAATTCGTCGGTGTGCGCCCAGAATGTGGCAACCATCCCTGATGTAGCTTCTCAAGTGGGCATACCCTTGCCCCCATACAAACTTGTAGGACCCACCACCCGTTTGGTTTTTCTAAGTATCCTCACCTTACTTGCTGAATCGGAATTCCTCCCCCCGACCAGCAATGTTATCTCCATAAATATAGGTCTCAAAACAGCTCTATACTGCGCATAAACAATTCCAAAGACTTCCTAAAGATTCATGTGTATTTCTAACCTGAATTTATTGAGAAAAGCTCAGATCATTAGCTCATAAAACCGGACCATTCACCCAAAAAAGCCAATCACATGTTACCCGGATACTTTAATACATTCTCAAAAGTCTCCAGGGCGTTTTTCCAGTTCGCTAAGATTCGCATCAGAATCAGAATGTTCTACGCCCCGGTTTGCCCTTTTGACAAAAATAATGGTAAAGTCATCTTCATCCGTCTGACAGTTTACAATTTCTATGCGGTGCACTGGGCATATTGAATAATGAAGCTCCAGTATGTTGTGAAAATTATCAGTCTAAAATTAATTGGACACCTTCCCTCTGTAGTTGGGTTATCCTGCAGCTATTTAAAGAAGGGAGACCCTACAACAGATAGTGGAAATTACAACATTGATCCAGATGGCGAGGGAGATCTGGAGCCATTCTCAGTGTACTGTGACATGACTAACAAGAATGGAGTTGGTGTGACAGTCATAAGTCACGACAGTGAGAGCAGGACTACTGTGGATGGATATGAAGGTCAAGGTAGTTACTCACGTGATATTAATTACACAGGAGCGAGTCTATCTCAGCTGGCCAGTCTCACCAGTGTCTCCTTACACTGCGAACAGTTTATCAAGTACAAGTGTCGCCACTCAGGTTTTTGGTTTGACGATCCATACGGATGGTGGGTGTCGCGTGATTCTACTAAGATGATCTATTGGGGTGGAGCATCGCCAGGAAGTGGCAAGTGTGCATGCGGGATGAACAACTCATGTGCAGCAAACGGGCGCTGCAACTGTGATGCGAATGACAATGTATGGCGTGAAGACAGCGGTCTCCTCACTGACAAGACAAAGCTTCCAGTAAAACAGCTCAGGTTTGGTGATACAGGTGAAAGTCATGAGAAAGGTTACCACACTCTTGGAAAATTCAAGTGTTATGGCACAGCATAATCACTTGAGTATCATACCGACAAACTTATCGGTTAATGTTATAATCTGTTGTTTTTTAGAGGAGTGTGAAAAGAAGTCTGTAAATACAAGCATCTGCAGCTCAGGAGTCAATTAAAAAAAATCTTACCAGTGTAATGTACGAATTTTCAGACTCTAAAACAATACCTACACTGTACTCTTAGCAAATGATTGCTAAAATACACTCAGGTTTCACCGTAGGAAACATCGGATTGTATTTATAACGGAAAAAAACATTTAATATTATTAGCACTCTAATAAGCAGCAAAGCTACGGTACTGTTGCAAAACGCTATTGCATATTCAATTAGCCGACGATTGTTCAGATCGTTTTTCCCAATACGGACCATTCTTTGTTGATATCCAATTAGCTGTAGATCGCGCTAAAATTATTATTCATTGTGCAGTGTAACTTTGTAGATAAAACCGTTAGGACGCTAAATAAACTTCGCTCTTCAAAAGTTGTCTTGTCAGGATATTTTCGCGAATTTCTTCATGCTGGGAGCGGAAAGTACACGAAGAAACAGGTACCATGGACGAAAAATTAGATTTTCACAAATTTGCTCAGGGCAAATAATAGGGTGCAAACGAAAAGGAAATCAAAGGCAAAGACGGGTAAATAGCGCATTTGCATACCGGTCTATTTCAACATGGGGGTTGTAAATTCATGAGCAAATGTGGCATGCCATCTTTGCCCTTTATTTAACCTTAGTTTGCACTTTTTTGCACTACATTTGCACTAAATAAATTTGGTGTAAATCAAATTTTTCGTGCTGACAGCAAGTGCTTCGCGGGTGAACAACGCCTGATCGTGGGACCAAAGTTATACTGACTTCGTTCGCTTAATACACCTCTGAAGTCTATAACCATTTTGCGTTTTGCTATTTATCGCCACATGAATTAGAATGTGCTATTGCTTCTATGGATTATAAAGCTATTTTTTTGGTTCCATTTTATAGAAAACTTGCTTTTATAATTGTATTGTTATCCACGACCGGTATGGTTTTGGGCGACTTGGTCCCGTTCATGATTTATTTATGGGGCTCAATATTAACCCTGGTGTAAATTGTACTTCACCTTGGTTCCAAACTCATTACCATGCATTACTATACCCCAAAACAAAGGGAAATAAAACTTTAACCAGGGATAAAACTGAATCACAACAAGTACATACGATTGCGCGAATTTCGTTGTTAAATTACTACACCATAATCACAACCGTTAAGGTTTGTGTAATACAGCAAAACCTGCAGTGAGGGGACCGGCCCCTGTGACCAGACTTGCATGGTCTGTATATGGCATGGACAATCATGGTTGACGGAGTATCTGCTTTGACGGGAGGTGTCCGTTATTGAAGGTTCGGAGGTGCACTCTTGTCTTTACGATAAGAATGTGTACAGCTATTTCGAGAAAGGTTGTCGGAAAAAGTGCACACGACAATCACGAAAGGTATTGTGGGTGGTTTTGAGTTCGCTGTTCTTCAAAGAAATTTGAAAGGATGGCACAAGAAGCCGTGGACGTGTGTTTGCGCGTGCTGAAGGAAAGCAATTAAAAGAAGTTTTGACGGCTACAGGATCAGGAACAGCGTATTGATCATATTCCATATTACCTTTCGGGATTGTCCCGTGCACATTTTTGCCTACAACCTTTCTGGAAATAGCTATATACACCTGCATTATGATGCAAAATAGACTACTCTACGCACTGATGACTCGATACAAATCCTTGTACTATCTAAACATATTGGAGAAGCTTTTTTTGGAGTAATCAGAGTGTAATAGTACCACGATTTCACCACCAATCTGCACTAGCACGATGATTTTTTTGGGCAATTGTGCTTTTACCGATTTCTATTTGACCCAATCCCAGAGTTGTGTAACTTTTTTGTAAAATAACGTCATAACTTCTTTGCTATATAGGGGACATCAATGTTTACAAACGTTGTTTTTTTGTTACAAGACCCAATGCGCTTCTGGTTGGCACTTAACTAGGTCACGTCAGCGTGAGTATCGCTATTGAACTATCATAGCCAGTGTATAGATGGTAGTTTCGTTTGGCCAGCGCGCAAGTGAGCATCCGAAGCCAGGAAAACACACCCACAATCGCGACTGCTCGCTTGACCTCCCCTTCGTTCCGCTCTCCCGCCTTTCCCCACCATTAAAAGTGCCAGGTACACGGGGCTAGAACAATCAAACAGAACGCTATGGTGGCTGTATACTGTTACATTGCGCTTTATCGTATACCGTAAACTGCCGCTTATAAACCCCTCACTTACAAGGCCCCCTCTTCTCCCCTCTAAGTTATAGGCCCATCTACCTGTAATAGCGGAGCTCTCTCGCGCGCGAAGCGCTCGCCAGCGGAGCATCATGGCCACGAGGAGCCGCAAGCAGTAAAATTTCTGTCCCGTAATTTAATCAGTTAAATCATGAAAGTTGACAGGTCTTTCTAATGATCAAAGCGACCGTTCGGTTTACCATTTACACCTTCAGTGCGAAGACTGTCACGGGAACATTAACACCTTCAGGATAATTGCTTACCATAACAGTGGTAGGTCGCGCGCGTCTGGTCGGTTTCGAAGAACGTGATCGTGACTGTTGTTTTCATTCAGTGACTGTGCGCGTTGATATGCCAACGTTTAAAAGAGACTGCAACATTATAAAAGCAAAGAAGCTGCTGAGTAGAAACTAAATCGTCCCAGACTTATTCCGTTTCATTCGTGTACTTTCATTTTGATGGGGTCTGTATGATGAATTTACTTCTGCCTTCTAATCAGGCACGTAAACAACATAGAGATGAAACATTTCATTTTGCTTTTGTGGAGTAAATTCATCTTAAAAAAGTTAAACTAGTGGACCACTTTCTCCGCGTACTTGTAAAAATAGGCATTTAATTAATATGCCGCGCTACAGTGCGAAAATCTTCTTGTTGTGGATTAGATTTCAGTATACATATTCTTCATTTCGCGCCAGAATAAATTAGTTTGCGCGCAAAGGGCTTCTAAAAAAAGATCACAAGGTTTGTCCCACGTCAAGTCCACCTTCTGGAGCTACGCCGGCATGGTAGCTGGAATACATTCCCGAGGCGAAGATCTGGCATTTTTTCCTCCTCGTCTTTTTTTCTCCGCGACGTTTGTTTATATTTTTAGTGAGAATGCCGCGCATATCGGTGGATTTTACTTCAGTCAAGCGGCTTCAGTTCCTGCGGCTTGCTACTCATCATAAAGAAGAGTGCCGGAATCGCCTTGTTTGCCTTTAACAGATTTGTTGTCGAATGCAAGGTAAAAGAACGGACTACTGTAAGGTAAGAATTGAAGTTTAAATTTGTTTCTCGGCGAAAAATAGTGCATACAACTCGTGAAACCCGTGAGTATTACCTCTGTTTAATATACCGGATGTCATGCGATGACCCCTCGCTTTTACGATGGATAGGACGGATACAAACAATAATTTCTTTCGCAACGTTTAGTATCATTTACTTAATATGGAGATCATCTGAGGACGATTTTTCGTTATATATGCTTCATTTCTTGGCTTATTCCGGCTACGTGCGAAAAATTAGATGACAGTGTTTGTGTGCTATAATTATACTGATAATTTCTTGCACCTTGAAACTCATGAAAGCCAAACTTGTTTAACCCTAGCAAAAAACTCTTTTAATGGAGGAACTCAACCTGATAGTTGCACTAAAATCTAATAATTGTTACTGCATTTGCATGCTCTCTGTAACCTCGTGGGTAGAACATACCTGATGGTTACATTAATAATAATCACTGCATTTGCTCTCTGTAACCTCGTGGGTAGAAATTCCTGATGATTAATAATAATCACTGCATTTGCTCTCTGTAACCTCGTGGGTAGAACATACCTGAAGGTTACGTTAATGATAATCATTGCATTTTCTCTTTGTAACCTCGTGGGTAGAACATACCTGATGGTTACATTTAAAATAATAATCACTGCTTTTGCTCTCTGTAACCTCGTGGGTAGAACATACCTGAAGGTTACGTTAATAATAATCATTGCACTTTCTCTTTGTAACCTCGTGGGTAGAACATACCTGATGGTTACATCAATAATATCACTGCATTTGCTCTCCGTAACCTCGTGGGTAGAATATACCTGACGGTTACATTTAATAATAATCACTGCATTTGCTCTCTGTAACCTCGTGGGTAGAACATACCTGAAGGTTACGTTAATAATAATCATTGCATTCTCCCTTTGTAACCTCGTGGGTAGAATATACCTGACGGTTACATTTAATAATAATCACTGCATTTGCTCTCTGTAACCTCGTGGGTAGAACATACCTGAAGGTTACGTTAATAATAATCATTGCATTCTCCCTTTGTAACCTCGTGGGTAGAATATACCTGACGGTTACATTTAATAATAATCACTGCATTTGCTCTCTGTAACCTCGTGGGTAGAACATACCTGAAGGTTACGTTAATAATAATCATTGAATTTTCTCTTTGCAACCTCGTGGGTAGAACATACCTGATGGTTACATTTAAAATAATCACTGCATTTGCTGTCCGTAACCTCGTGGGTAGAGTATACCTGATGGTTACATTAATAATAATCATGGCATTTTCTCTTTGTAACCTCGTGGGAAAAAAAATTAATGCCTCTCTCCTGGAAATTTTGCCCTGTCCTTTGAGCATAGTGATCTTTGTGTACCGAATTCACGAAAATAGGTAAAACGCTTTTTTTAACAACAGCATTTATATTATTTGGCTTTTTGAGGGAGGTTTTAAAAACATTAATGGAATAGAATATAAAAAAAGCTGATAAAGCGGAAAAAGTTATCTTTACAAAATGCGCTTTGACAATGTCGAGGAGTGAAATAAGCTGAAGTTTTGAAGTTAGCCCGAAGAAAACCTGTCCCTGCATGAAAAGCAGTTCTAATTCCCTTCTCTTAACTAGAAGAGATGCATATCCCTGTGAACCAGTTTTTTAACTAGGAGCGATTCCCACTCACTTAAAATACTTTATTGACACGAGTTCCTATTTCAAGCGTAGCCGCGTGATAGCTCTTCATTAGCGAAAAGTTTCAACTGATATTTTAATTGACGTGTTGTTTTGGATCCTGAGGTTTTTTTAACACCTTTTCTCTTGCTTAACTGGCGAAGATATTCTAGGAATTTGCCCTTCAATTCCAAATTCTTTGATGTGCAGCCAGATGCCGTGCAAAAATATCACCTCTTGCGGCTCCTCGTGAGCAAATCTGCCCATCCCAGAAAATTTGGTAATCATGTGACCGTACACCGACCGCCCGCCGTCCGTCCGCACCACAGGCTTACCAAATTGAATGTAAAATAACTCAATCAACAGGTATGGCAACCCAAATGCAACTGGAGGTTGTTTTGGCGGGAAATCACATAGCCCCCGCGTGTTGTGAAGCAGAGACAACTAAAGAGTTAATAAAGACGAAAACGGAAAGCGGAAATTGTTTCTGTATCCGTGTTTTCTGAATTATTAAGCTTAGATTAATTGTCATGTCCACAAATTCGGAATATAGCGCAAGAGAAAGGGAGAGAAAAAGAGAAAATAGGCGGCAGGCAAGCGAAACTCAACAAGAAAAAGGCGACAGAGATCTAGGGCGAGAGATAAAAAAACAAACAAACAAGCAAACTAAGGAGGTGACAATATGAGAAATGCTAGCGGCCACAAATGCAAGGTGAAAATGGGCGGCAGTTAAAAAAAAGTGAACGAGAACACGTACGACATTTCCACCAAAAAACGTGTAACTGGGAAGTTTCTGGAAGTTTCAGGTTGTAGTCGGGCAAAACAACGGGAAAGAAATGTACAAAAAAAGTGTGCTGCACGTGCAAAGTTGCTTTTTGCTAATTAGAACTATTGTTGTTTTTCACCGTTGTCCCGCGTTGTCATCGCTGTGTTGCGCTAAAAATCGTCGTTGCGAATTGTCTCGTGTAACATCACCTTTAGCATTACACGATTTTATGTTTTGTTTGGACACACTTTAAATATTATCGAGAGCTTCGCTTTTAGCTCTGGCTAAATCTATATATATATTATATAGATTAAGCTAGGGCTAAAAGCGGAGCTCTCGTTAATGTACAAAATAGGTATAGCTTATTCAAACAAAAAATACAATTCTGTGCTTAATGGCCAAGGCAAAGTGAACGGCAAAAAACAAACAAACAAACAAACAAAAACGAAACAATAGGTCTAATTAGCAAATAACAACTTTGCACGTGCTTCACACGTTTTTGGTCATTTCCTTGCCGTTGTTTTGCACGACTGCAACGTGAACCTTCCTAGTTACACGTTTTATGGAGGAAATGTCGCATGTGTTTCCGTTTGCCTATTTTTTTCACTGCCACTCATTTTCATCTTGGTGGCCGCTAGCTTCTTACTGCCACTATAACCATAACGCTTTCATGTTTTTCTTCTAACGAAACTCGTCTTCTTTATATTTTTTCTCTCGCTTCAGCTCTTTCTCTGTTATCCACGTAAGTGAAGACATTAAAATTTAGTCGAAAAAAAAGGACACAGCTTTGTTGTTATTTTTTCTCGTCAAGAACATTTCCAAATTCCAATTCGATCCAGAATGCTCAAGCGTTTAATACATGAGCCCCGGGCTCGGGAGATTGGGCAACCACTCCTCACGCTATCGAGCTTAAATAAAATTAATTTAATTTTAATTTAATTCAAGAATGGGTGGCCATGCAATTTACCGCCAAAACACGCAAGTGTTTGAAATGCGAAATTTCACCTCTGCTTACACGTAGGGGTGGACGAACGGACGGACGTATCTACTTGCGCAAGATTTTGCCAGAACCAAAATTTCCTGGATGCATAGGTAACCAAATTTTCTTACCCATGGTGCTCCGCTAAAAAAAAAACACCCATCGTATATAACTGAATTTAAGTCCCCTTCCCGGAAGTTAAATCCCCCCTTTTAGTGTAACGAAATAAATTCGACGTTTTGAGGGTTAATCAAAAAAATTTAAAAATGCAAAACGTATTTTGATCAGCTCTTACCTGAGATTGTTTCGAAGCGCTTTTGTTATATTCCGGTTATCCCTGACGGATATAATATTGTATACAGTCTATTCCTTTTTATTAAAAACTGAATCATTGGATAATGCAATTCTAGCATTTTGATTGGCTTAGCCGTTATGGTATATGAGCTATTATACCATGCTCTCCATATATGGTCGGTGTACGCGACAGTTTAAAATTGGAAGCTAGCTGAGATTTTTTTTCGCGAAGGATAGAACGGCGCCCGAAGCAAATTACTTTAATTCATTTCTTAGAATACTAGAAATGCAATTTCATTGAAAGAAAAAAGACAAAAACAAACAAAAAAGCCACAAGAGCTTGTTTGAAAGTTTGTCGAAAAACACATGAAAACACATGGAACTAAAGTACCTTGACCAGCTACGAAAGAAGACAAGTGTTGTTTCTTCATGATCGTGAAGCCATTCGCCGATCAAGTCACTCGCCAATAGATAAGTGTGGCTTGTTTACCCGACATCAAGAATATAAATCACGAGTAACCAGCTACAAATACAGGCTATGCAGCCATTCACTAGAGCAATCGAGGCGCAGTATAGCTTCTTTTCTCGTTCAGCAAAACCAGCTTGTGGCTTCAAACAACTTCATAACAAGCGACCGAGGTAATAGTTTTTCTCCGTTGTTCTTACTTTTATAACTGCACCGAAAATCCAAATTCACTGTAATTTCGACGGCTGTCACTTAAAAATTCTTTTCAAACGATAAATTTCTTTCGCAAAGTGAAGTATAATTTACTTAACGAGACCATTTGACGACTATTTCTCGTTACATGCTTTATTCATTATATTTGCTTGAGTTATTCAGGCTACATGCCAGGAGTTTGATGAGAATGTTTGTGTGCTATAATTATGCTGATAAGTTTTTGCACCTTTATATTGAAACTCATGTAAGCCAAACGTTTGTTAACTCTAGCAAAACACTCTTCTATTATGGAGGAACTTTTAACGTCTTTCGGGGCCCTAATATGGTGTCAGATTTTTAGGGGAAACAAAGCTTGATTTTTGACCAAACAGACTATAGCTTTTTTGCCTTTGAAGAGAGCGCGAGGCAAACGTCCGTGAGTACAGTGTAAGACAGTGATTCTTTAGGTAGAGCTAACAAACATAGGCTGCACTTTAGGTGGCACACCCATGGGTGCAGTGTAACCTAGTGATTCTTTAGGTAGAGCTAACAAACATAGGCTGCACTTTAGGTGGCACACCCATGGGTGCAGTGTAACCCAGTGATTCTTTAGGTAGAGCTAACAAACATAGGCTGCACTTTAGGTGGCACACCCATGGGTGCAGTGTAACCCAGTGATTCTTTAGGTAGAGCTAACAAACATAGGCTGCACTTTAGGTGGCACACCCATGGGTGCAGTGTAACCCAGAGATTCTTTAGGTAGAGCTAACAAACATAGGCTGCACTTTATGTGGCACACCCATGGGTGCAGTGTAACCAAGTGATTCTTTAGGTAGAGCTAACAAACATAGGCTGCACTTTAGGTGGCACACCCATGGGTGCAGTGTAACCCAGTGATTCTTTAGGTAGAGCTAACAAACATAGGCTGCACTTTAGGTGGCACACCCATGGGTGCAGTGTAACCCAGTGATTCTTTAGACAGAGCTTACAAACATAGACTTGGGATGGTAACAAGTTTTCCAGTTAAAACTTGGTCATAAAGTGCTACACCATGGCACTTCGACTATTTCATAATCGCGCTTGTTTTGACGCACAATTGATAGTCAGGAGAAGTCGTATTTTCTAAAGCCATAGAAAAAGACAAATTTACACACATCACAGCGTTAAGGTAAGGTAATACACGGTATTTCCTTCAGGTACATTTACATTTTCTGTTAGGTTATAAGCGATTAAATCGCATGCAGCGACGAAAAAAACGCGAAGCCGTCAGATATTCTAGAACCGTGTTATTTACAGTGCTGTGCATTATTATTGCTTAACTAACTAACTACTCGCTGATGGAAATAAGTTTCGGCCGCTTTAAATTTTGAAACAATTCACTGGTACTGTATAGTCATGAATTGGAGCGGAAAGTTAGCACAGGAGCGGGGCGATTCAGGGGCACCCAACGACAATTTTCGGAAAATTATCTGTTCGGAAGACGATTTGAGGTCTAGAATTTTCGGATCATTTTCTGAAAAATTTCTTGCTTGCCTGTCTCTCCTAGGATTTTCGAACTTCAAAACAATCGCATAATTGCCCATTTTAAACGGATTTTTACCCTAAAAAGGTCACCTAGAATTTCCGGGAGCCTTTTTTCTGGCTGAAATTTTCGAAAAGGTATATTTTGATCCCTATAATTTTCGGATCACTATACTTTCAGCTAGGAAATCCGAACAGATGAAAAATTTTTAGGGGATAAAAATAAGCCTTTATCTAACGTTTAAATACTAAAGTACGTTCAACAATGCTATGTTAATGTGGTTTTGAACTATATTCTCGTTGGGTGCCCCTGGCGATTCTGCTGTGGTTTCTGTAATGTAGAAGATATTACGGCAATGAGGCTCTCGAGGTCCGTTCTGGAAATCACAACTACATGTAGGATGAAATGTATTCTGCGTGCAGACGTCTCCTTTTCCAGGTTAGGTTAAATAAACCGTACCAACGGTTTGTTTAACAAAGCTCCCGCGAGACGGTTTCTTGGTGATTTTATTAATTTTTCCGATCCACTTTTTTTTTTCAGCTCTATTTTCGCGGCTTTTGCGATACAAACTGTATTCATTTTTAGTTGTGATGGCATTACACTGCTTAATCATAACGGCTTTGGAAGAAACTGAATATATTGCGCTTCGCGATTTCGCAAAATTGCTGCGTTTTATCTAAAGGTCCTTGAGAACAGAATAAGACAATATTTTATTACCTACAACCTAAAAACCCGATTTTAGACCAGATCGAAACAAAACTGACCTCTGAAATGGAAGAAGAAAAGCCTTTTATTTTTGCCGGCTTCGGCCTGCCGACGAGATCGTGTCTGTTTTGCTTTCATATGATGACATTTTCCTGACATAAGGGTGTCGGGAAAAACACCTCGTGCTGATCATACGTGACAAAATCCGCCGCGCCTAAGCTAATTAAGAAAAGTCTCCTCGAAAGCTTCATACAATTCCTTATAACAAAATTATAAGGAATTATATGGAGCTCTCCGGGATACTTACAGTGCAAGCCCTTTGTGTCTTCTCATGCTAAGCGAAACTCTCGTTAATATTCTTATACCGGTAGTTTACTCAAACAAAAAATAAAATCGTGCAATGCTAAACGGCGTCGGCAATGAGAACCGCATAAAACAACAAGTCTAAGTAGCCAAAAAAGAACTTTGCACGTGCAGCACACTTTTTCGTACATTTTCTTTGCCGTTGTTGTGATAACGTGAAACTTCCTAGTTACACTTTTTATAGAGAAAATGTCACTTATGTCCCTGTTAAGAAATTTACAAAATCAACGATTTTTCGCGATGACCTTGCGAACACTCTATAATTTACAAAATTAAGGATTTTTGGCGATGAGCTTGCGAAAAGCGGCGGTGCAGATTTTACAATTTTAACTGAAATCATTTGTAAAATTTACAAAACTTGCAGGATTTTTCGTCAGAGTCTTCTGCGATTATCACAACTTGTTCCCCTTTAGTGTGTAAATGATAACACGTCTTCAAAGCGGCGCTGTGGATTTTAATCTACAAAATGTCGTACGTGTTCATTAACATTCTGAGCCACATCCGGTGTGGTTTTCGTGCCGTTGAACATAGCCAGTAATACTTTCATTCGTTCTTGCGGCTACCCACCTCTTAATAAAAGAAAACGTGGTTTAAAATGGTTGAAAGTGAAAAACGCCTATAAGGTTACACTAAACTTCTTCTCAGCTACATTGCAAATTGAACACAATGTTCTTCAAAAAAGTTTTAAAATCGCGCTTATAAATCATTAAATATTAACACACTATTATTTACAGTTTTTAAAATTGTTCATAAAGACGTCAAGATGTTTTTAGCTAGCGCTACCGCGGATGTATTAAGATCTTACTGATAAACTAAGCCTAACAGGGACGGCTTCTCCTAGTTTTACTGTCTCTAATATGGCAGCAGGTCGTTGCTTCTCCGTGCTAGCATTTTTGCTGGTTTGTGCTGTTTGGGGAGCTTGGCTGAACTACGTGGCAACTGCACAAAAAGGTAGGAATAAAGTATATTGACTGACATGCAAGCATACACAAGTGTCCTGTTGGATCCCGAACGGTCTTCTTTCGTTTTTTCAATTGAGCTTTTCTGTTATTTACTGTTAGAGTGCTAAAGACCGCAAATCGATAATTACAATTTGTAGTTTACGCCGCCCTAGAGCACGAGCTCGTTACATCAGCAACTTGTGCAATAGCATGTTACCAGTGCTAATTTTGCCAACCCGTTTGTAGACTTGACTGCAAAACCCTCGCTTCAGACCTTTCGTTAGACCGCTTCTATCGCGCGCGCTTTCTTGACCATTGTGGGCAACTATAAGCTGTTCTACAATCTAACTCGTTTGCAAACTTAAGGGGCTGCCAAAGCACTGACTTCTGCTCAGTATATATAGACCTTCACCGCATGCATGGGATAAACAGTGTCTTTTCCCTCTATATTCTAATAAAGTACCGCAATCAGTCTGATGATCAGAAGGACGTCCTCGGCCCACTAAAAAGACTCTGCTGTTTGACATAGCGCCCTGCAAATGAATTTTCATAGTTTTGAGGTGCCTATATTAAGTTTCAAACCAAGGGCCTTAATTCTTTCCTCTTTTAATCAATGCACGCGAAATCGAGCAGCTGTGCCTCGGGCAACTTAAAGCCGCTCAACAGATCGCGGACACGGACGGAGATCATTGTGTTTTGCAAGCCACAAAAATAAAACTTTAGGTCTAGTGCTGAAGTTTCAACTTTATCGTGTTGTATATCAGGATAACCTTGAAAAAAAAAAAAAAAAAACTTCGAAACCAAAATGACGGTGTGTTTGTACAATTATACTATTTGTGTCATAGATATTAAATGTTTGGTGCGTTTAAATTCTAAGAGCTTTTCGCTGGCGGCAAGTCAACTTAAAAATGCTTCAGTTCTAGAATAATTTCATCACTTAATTCAGATGCTTTTGAAGCCTGTTTGGTTAATTTAGAACTGCTCTTAAAACTATTTCTCTTTGGATGACTCAGGCCCGGGGGGCTGGAGGGTGGGGTACTTAACAAAGTTTTATACGGGGAGGCTTCGCTGCGAGGTCCAACACCTTATGCTTTTATAAACCATTTTTGACAGAAAAGTAACCGCTTTCGTACACCTTTTATTGACAAATGGTACCCCATTCATATACCTACTTTAGCTGCTGTAAATACACTGTCTTCAAAATCTAAATAAGTCACAAATTAAACCAGCACTCCACTGATTTCTCACCCTTTCACAGCCACAAAATGCATTTGCAATCCATTTTTCGCCTTATACAGACCGAGATGACAGATTTTCTTACCCTTTCATATACCTGAAGCCTGAAAAAAGTCCTTTGTGGCACGGTCTCTCCTTATAGGCCATTTACAGGTAGTACCCCCTACCGGGTCTTAAGGAAACTCTGGTCATCTGGAAAGAAGATGGCTTTTTGGTTTCGTGCGAAACTGTTAGCCTACCCAATCTGATGGGTCAGGTCGAGAGTTTAAGGATATGTAGTAGCCGTACATACTTTCATTAGAAAATTATAGGAGACGTTTAATTTGTCTTCCATAAACCGAAATTTTTAGGAGACCTTTTCTAACAATAGTATCAAAATTTTTGATCAAAAACGATTTCTTAAAACATAAGCAAGCGAATATTAACTTTAAAAGCCGACGTTTCGGTATCATCATGACACCATTCTCAAGGCTTGAGAATGGTGTCATGATGATATCGAAACGTCGGCTTTTAACGTTAATAATCTGAAAATTATGGTAATAAAATGTCCAAAAAAAACCCTCAAAAAATCGTAATGTAAGGTAGCGAAAAAAAAATAGCTTTTGCGAGTTTTTTTTGTTTTTTTTTGTTTTTGTTTAACAGCAAACAAATTTTATTGAAATTTAACATGTAACTAGTAATTACAAAATCTTTCCACCCACAAAGAGCTTATGAACTAATCGAAGCAGGGGAGGAAGGACGTATTACAATACAAGGTTCATCTATTAGATGGACTAATTAGCAATGAAGACACTACTAACATTACAACATACGTAAAACAAAGTACGTATTGACAACGATTACGAAGAGGGACTAAGACTGATTAAAAGTCTTAAACAATTTAATAAGACGGGGGACTTCAACATACTCATCTTCTGACCGCAAGAAATTTACTAATAATTTCTCTATCTTTTTACGAACAGACGATCGCTTAAGCGTTTTAATTGTATAGGAATAGAGTTCCAAATTTAAGAATCGATTCTCGTGGAAAAGGCAGACATTTTATCGGTCCTAGAGAACTTAACATAGACTTGTTTTAGTAATTGACTGAGTACACTAACTGGCGCTGACTGTCTGTTGATATCAGAAATTTTCTAGGCCAAAAAAATAAACAATAACTTGTTAAAAAGCCATTGGATGGGTCTTATCATTGGGTTACACGTGCCTTTTCATCAAGTTTCAAAATATATTAATACGATCCTTATTTCGTCCCGTCACCTGTTGTTAAGTCCCACCCTTTAGAGTCTACTAATAAACACGGGAAGTAGCTAGCAGCCTGAATTTGAACCCGATCTCTCCCCAGCAATACGTGTGAATCAACGAGCCGCTAATACTGTCTGGTGACTTCACTACTCCTTTGCTTTTATCCATGCAAAAAGTAAATCACAATTTTCAACTGGCAAACAAGTACATATCGTCCTGAAAGGCCTACATGATGCAGAATTGTGTTACTCTTGACAGCGTCTTAAGTCTTAGTTCAAAAACGTTAAAACTGTTATCAGCATTCAGTATATATTCTGAACAAACTTTTGCTTGTATAGCACCATAGTTCAATAATCAAACTCGATGGCGGCAACACAAGAATGAAATACACACGGGACACACTTTCTTCAGTGTGCTCTGAATTTAACAGAACCTAACTATTTGTTGCTTAAACAAGATGAAAGAAAGGAAGTAAGCAAAGACAAAAAACTAACAGAATCATCCACATGCACTTGAACGTTTGAGTATATGTAGTAGCCGTACTTTCATTAGAACATTCTAGGGAACGTTTTGTCTTTAAACCAAAATTTTCAAGAGAACTTTTGTTAACAATAATCGCGCTCCTTATGTGAAAATCACAACTTCCGAAACTCGTATGTAACTGATTAGTAAAAAAACTTCGAATATCTTTAGCAGACGAATGGAACGGTTATATCCAGAAAGTTATGTAGCCTTTCGCGACTTTTAGAAATTTCAAGGCCATAAAAATAAACAATAATTAGTTAAAAAGTCGCTGGGTGCCCCTGATCATTGAGTTATACGCATGCATTTTCATTAAGGACCATTAGGTCGATCTCAAAATATAATTATCCTTGTTTCACCTGCTTTAATTTTACCTCCCTCCCTTTAACCCATTCGCCACTGGAGATTTTGCCGAAAAACACGTTTTGAAGATAGTCGAGCGATTTGCTGGTCACTATCGTGCTTTAAAGAGATAAAACTCACCACAAGACTGTTCTTCGCGGCCTTCTAATCCAGATGCAAAATATTAGCTTGCGAAGTTCGGGCATGCGCAGAAAGCAAAATTTCGAGATAATTCTGGGTTTAAAAGTGACACAGCAGTCTTGACTTTTTCTTGTCGCTTTCTCTCCTCCTCTCTTTTTTCGCTTTTCTTGCCTCATTTTTTTCTCTTGCTGGGCATTTAGTGGGCTTCATTTTGGTGGAAAAAGTTGTGGGGAAGACCTTTAGGATCTCAGGATTATAAATGAAAGGAAAGGTAGGTGGGTAGTGGAACAAGATTTTCATGGAAATTTTTGGGTCAATGCCCGGGAGGGGGTACTCCCGCGAATTTTGGATAGGGGTGTGCCGCGAAGGTTCTTAAACCCTAACCCTATTTAAGGACTAACAAAGCGAAAAATGATACCCTTTTTAAGGCCGAAAGCCGAAAAAGAACACCCTATTCAAGGAAAAAACAAAATTATTAATAGCATGAACAGGAAAACTTTATTTCTTCTCTGTAGCATTGGATGTATAGCATCGAGCATAAAATACTAGAATAAGCCTAGTTTAAAAAAAAAAATGTTCGTTTAGGCGGACGTTTTCACACTCCAGTATTAGATAATACAATTAAGCTACCCTATCTAAGGACCAAACCAGGGACACTGAAACAAAAGGGTCAAAAAAGATACCCTATTTAAGGACCGAGAACCTCAAAAACCATACCCTATTCCGCGGCACGTACCTATATAGCCCATATATGGGAGTACCCCCCGGGGGTCAATGTTACATGGTTTTTTGCCTTTTACTCCGGTGTCCTTGACTGAATTGTGCTGTTTATGGTATGGTTTGAAAGATCGCTTCACTCTGCACAAGTTAGGGGACAAAGTTATCCTTGATTATTAAAACAGATGACGTCACAAGCGGTAGAAAGGACGTGGTTCCGCACGGGCGGTTACGGGTGGCTCAGGGGCGAATGTGTTTTTTAGGGTCTAAAAACAGGAAGTTGCGTTCTAGCTTTGAATTATAAAATATATCCCTGGCATGTCGTATCAGGCAGGAATGCGTCAAAATGGGACCAGAAATCTCCTGATTTGGAGATTAATCAACCTCAAAAAAGGTACCCGGCACTCAAGTTAATTTGCACTGGAGAGCCTATAATTTAATAATAATAATAATAATAATGATAATAATAATAATTATTGTTATTATTAATATTATGTTCACTGGAAGAGACATTATTATTAGAACTTCTTTGGAAAAAGAAATTGCGCTTTGTTGTTATAAATTTTTTAGGTCTAAATTTCTTTTGGACATCCTTTCCGCTGATCACGAAATTGACAAGCTTGTATGTGACGTCGTGAGACGTAAATTCAGGAACTAAAAATTAGATTTTTTGCATGCATTCGTATCCCTCTCTTAGGGTCGCTAATGTTGTTGCATCTAACTGCAACGCATCTCTTGTTTCCGTTAGTGCTTGGAAGAAATATTTCTAGAACTTCACATTTGATTACTTCTAAAAGTAACGAGTTCCTTAATTTATGTCAGAGTTCTTTAATCTAAGTCACAGCTCCTTTGTTTCCGCGAGACTTCAGAGAAAATAGTAAGACTAATGGCGTGCCAAAATGGTGGCACATTTGAACGTTTCTGAGTAAAAAAAAAAAAAATACTGAAAAAAAAATTCCTATTTTGACTGTGTAATTGATAAGTATTTTCAATTAAAAAAAGACAAAAAATTAGGTTATGGGCGCTTGAACTTGAAGCGTCTTTGAGCGTTCAGCTGGTGCATCTTCAAGCAAACATGGAATGCAACCACGTGACTCAAAGTGGCGGGTATACATAATGAGAGTTGCTCTGTTTTAGGAGTAAGTACTGTGCATTAACAGCAACGTTTTCAAAGCACTTACACAATTGTAATTCTGTGTCTTTATTTATTTCCATGAAAATTATCAAACTGCCGAAAAATATTCTACTCATATCATGCTATTCCACGCAATAAGACAATGGCGAATCAAACTAAAGTAATCAACGCTTTCAAGCGATAGAATTCGTGGACCGACCCGTTCCGGAAAAGCTCGATATGGGATTTCTATTCTATGGACATGGATCGACAGGAAGTGCTGTAAGCAGAGTGCGTGATGGTCAAGTACAAAGCTACCCGTCTAAACACATCCGTGACTCATATCTAACGTCAGAAGGGTAGTTGAAGTTGCTTTCAGTAGTAATCGAAGGTTAAATCATTGATATCTTAAGTATTTATAAAGTGCATCGCGACGTCACATCTTAAGAACTACGAAATTCTATCAATTAATAAAATACATACAACAAAGTGAATCTATTTAACCGTAGAGTTTCAGTACTTGTGACAATATTCTGAAAAACGTAACGCCTCAATACACTACAAAAAAGGATTTCCCCGCTACAATATTTCCTCATTGAGATATTTACTTTTTAATACGAGTGCATAATTACACGAAAATGAAGGGTCTCGAATCGGGGAAAATTGCATCATTGCCAAACAGCTAAAGACGTGATCAACTTACATGCGTCATTTCAGTCATCGCCGAAAATAAGCCGCATGCTCATCACGAGACTCACTGAATACGATAAAAGTCGTCACGATTCTTTTCCCCAGTTTCCATGGTCTCCGCTAGGAACGCCTGGGAGCATGGCGCCCTAATTGGTGGCCACCGACAAAGAAAATTAACAAAAAAAACGAAACGCCTGCATTTTTAGTCTCTCTCTGCTAAAGCACACACACAACACTTCAAAAAAAAAAACAATTTGCTTTAACTGAAAAGAAGCTATTTGGCCCTTAACGAAGAAGAAAAAAAACAAGACAACAAGAAAGAAAAGCTAACAGAATCATTACACTTAACGGTAGAAATGACAAAAGAATGTCCAGTTATAACTTAAACCCCAGAAAACGTCACACAAACGAAGTCACTGCCGAAACCACAAAGCGGCTCTAAAAGAAAAACCTCAGAACATAACCCCGTTCGCTGTACTGAGCAATGGCTAAATTTAAGTACCGTACGGTAAAATACTCCGAGTCTGACTTATTCAGTGATTCTTTTGACAAGAAACTGAAATTTTCGTGGAAAAGGAAACGTTTTACCCCAGTCGGATACTGTCATAAAATGCATGCTCTGTACAGCTCTAAAAATTTTACTCTGAGATAGCGTAAACACCAGCTGTATGGAGATATCAAAAGAAGATACTAAGCAGCTATGGAAAATGTAATTACTTTCATGCGATTTTGATATCTTATAAAACGGACCACAAATTCAACAGGAATACGTGCGAACTGAATTAACTGTCTGTTGTATAAGGTTCTGCTAAACTTACACATTTTTCCTGTACTGAACAAAAACTGCACCAGCCGTATCTTGGTCCGCTACATAGAAGCTATATATATATATATTTATACTGATAAAAATCATCGTTCAATTTTTTGAGTGTAAAATCCCGAAAGAGTTCTCCTCACGGAAGCAATATCAATATGTAAAAGGTCTCACACCGGTGTGAAGCTAAGATGTGCAGCCTGTCTTTCCTTGCAATTTTTACGTTTTAAATATTTACATTATGGCATATAACTGCACTCGTTTTGCATTCAAAACGAAAACAACAGCACCAGCTCCTTTGACAACAAAACTTATCTCCAAGCCCCATGGGCTCCAAGCAAGCGAGACTCAACGCTACTAAGAGAGTTTTTGTTTCCTTACGTGATTGCGGTTGAGATTGATCATTGAATATACAACAGATCCGTTCAGAGTACTGCAGTTTACAGTTTAAACGTTAACCATGAATTACGATCAAAAATAGTAAAGCAATTCTGTATCATGTAGACATTTCCAGACGATATTTCGTTTTGCCAGTTGAAAATCGTGTTTTACTTTTTGCATGAATTAAAGCAAAGGATTATTCGGGGGCACCTAACGAGAATAGAGTCCAAAACCATTTAAACATAGCATTGTTAAACGTATTTGAGTATTTAAACGGTACGTAGATATAGGCATATCTTTATGCCCTAGAAATTTTTCATCTGTTCGGGTTTCCTAACTGAAAGTCTAGTGATTCGAAAATTATAGGGATCAAAACTTACCTTTTGGAAAATTTCAGCCAAAAAAAAGGCTCCCGAAAATTCTAGGTGACCTTCTTAGGGTGCCATTTTTTAGATGTTCGAAAATCCTAGGAGAGGCAGACAAGCAACAAATTTTACAAAAATGTGAAATTCAGGCTATAATAATGTATTGTAATAAAGAACCGAAACATCTGGTAAATTTCTAGGTGCTCCTAGCCCCGGTTGTAAGTTCTTTGCACTGAGAGATATGGCTTCGTTAATCCGACTACATTATTAGTGCCTCTCGGCTTAACTGTATTAATTCGTCTTTCAGGAAATTGCGGTCAAAACAACCGACGCATCACATTTCTGACACCGGCCAGTGGGTTTTACCTTGAAGGACACGTGTTTTCAAATCATTCCGTGGACCTAAACCTAGACTGCCAAGACCAATGCGCCCTTGCTAGGGAATGTGTTTCATATAATATTGGTCCAATGATCAACAACAAGGTGGCATGTGAACTGAGTAATTCAGATCACTTGCAACACCCAGAAGACCTCAAACCAAGAAAAGACTGGTTCTACAGGGGCACAGAGGTATGACTAAATAATACAAGTTATCAGTGTCAACTGCTCAACCCAACTTTACGACTTCAATATCATTATGTAGTAAAGATTTGCTTCATTTTTTTTATAAAACCGCATTTATGTAAAGTTACTGGGTCTACTGGAGATGCATGCAATATAGGTTCGGTCACACTAGCCGTTATACCCACTTGCAAATGGCTGTTGCCCATGCAGAAGCAACTTTGATTTGTGCGTTACCAACAGTTCTCAAGGTGAATTTGCCCCCGGAAAATTTACATCGATACGTGAAATAAAACAATAGTAAAGTGACGGTGCGCGTATTGGCGTATTGTTAACAGTGATAACAAATTAAGATGATCAGATGATGATTTTCCTACACATTTTTTATCAAATCAGAATCTTTGCGCCACTAACCCCTGCCTGAACAACGGGACATGCTACATGGGATATACTGAGAAAAAATACGCTTGTGTTTGCCCAGCTTACCTCAGAGGTGAAAACTGCGAAGGTAATTAAAAGTATTGTAATAATTTTAATACAACCTTGTATTTATCAAGAGTTATACGTCTCAATGGATGAATCGAATGTCTGTCAGAATTGCCTCATAACCTAAAACTGCCACGTTAAGTAAAAGGCAAATGGTTATGAAGAACGCCTAGGGAGATTCCCAAAGTGAGGAGGATCGATGTCCGTCGGAAAATGAAAATGAAACCTAACGGAAAGACCAATGTGGGTGTGGCTTAAAATATAAAGTGACCCCCTAAGGAGACCATACTAAAACAGACATCAAAATAAGAGTTAGGGATCTTAATAAGATGCCAGGAGTGTTAAGTGTGTTCCGCCTTTTCTAAAAGTTAGCGGATTTCTGTGAAGTCAGTGTCACGTCATTTTTTGTAAATTTCTTTAAGCACAGCCCTAAGCGATACCTTAATGGATAGAGTGAACACCAAACACCCTAAGTGAGACCAAAATCTGCAAATTACACCCTTAAGCGAGACGACGAGCATCCCCGTCACTTTTATATGGGAGTTCCTTGCAGGGAGAACTTAAATACACTGAAATCGAGGTACGCAGGTTTTGTTAGCTGAATTGGAAATATTTTGAATGTCTAATCAACAATTACTTGATTCGGCTCATCTTTCGCGTAATATACATGAACAATTATTCGAACCGTGAAGACTGTTATGCATGTTGAATTCACATCGGCCGATAAAATTCTCCTCGATCTTCATAATACTTCATATCATATACCAAAGCGGAATCCAATTATTGCTAATTAATTAAATTGCTCCATTATTTATTGTAATATCTGTAGCATCTCTATCTATCCTGGCACAGCTTTTTACTCAACACTTCTACTTCTGGCAGTTTACCGATACTTTTGTGTAGTACAACACATTTTGAATAATGAATCGCAACGTTTCTTAAATAATGAATCAAATGAATAACTTAGAACTTTCTCTCTGCAGTTGCCTTGTTCTTATCATGCAGCCATTTAAAGAAGGAAGACCCTACAGCAACAAGTGGATATTACATCATTGATCCAGATGGCGAGGGAGATCTGGAGCCATTCTCAGTGTACTGTGACATGACAGTCAAGAATGAAGTTGGCGTGACAGTCATCAGTCACGATAGTGAGCGCAGAACGTTGGTGACAGGATGTGAACATAGAGGATGCTACTCACGTAACATTCACTACACAGGAGCAAGCCTGTCCCAGTTGGCTCCACTTACCCGTGTCTCCTTACACTGCGAGCAGTTTATCAGGTATGAGTGTTTTGGTGCAAGGCTATTAAAATATTTATCGGGATGGTGGGTGTCACGTGATTCTACTAAGATGAGGTACTGGGGCGGAGCATCCCCTGGCAGTGGTAAGTGCGCATGCGGGATGAACAACTCATGTGCAAACCCCAGTGATGGCTGTAACTGTGATGAGGATAGACATGTGTAGCGTGAAGACAGCGGTCTCCTAACTGACAAGACAAAGCTTCCAGTAAAACAGCTGAGGTTTGGCGATACTGGTAATCCTGGTGAGCGCGGCTTTCACACTCTAGGAAATTTCAAGTGTTATGGTACAGCATAATGTCACACAGAGAAGCTTGTTTTTATCATAATTTATTGTTGTTTAGTGGAATGTTAAAGAAGCCAGGCAAATTACAGGCAACTGCATTTCGGGGTCAACTCAACAAAATCTTTACAAGGGTAATTTATAAGCTCTCGAACTCTAAACAAATAAAGGACATGTTAGATCACCGCCTGGAGCACTCCCCGGGAGGGGGTGCTCCTTGGATGTGCGGAACGCTTCTTGAAACCCTGGCCTTATAATTTTCCCTACCCTACTTCGAACTGACTCTTTGTTCTCAAGTGAAAACAAAACCTTACCCTATTTGACACCCTTACGCTTAAAATCTATAGTCATTTTCAGAGAAGAGAGAATACCTCTAGAGCTTAGGTAACGGAGTACCGCTCCCTCTTCCCGGGCCGAACAAAGAGTAACAGCGTGGTCGAAGGTTCATTTTTGAGTGGGTGTTGCATTACAGACACCAAATTATAGAGCCAACGGGTCCGTTTATTTATGGATAACGTTTTACTCAGCTAACTGTCTTGGCCAAACTTAGACAAAGACAAAAGAGAGGGGAAGAAAAGTGCAGCGAAATTACAGCTTTGACGAGCGATGTGACAAGGAAAGGATCGAAGCGAAGTTGTGCATGTATCTTGTTACACCGCGCGTGTGCTTTATTGTATATAACACTATTTTGTTTTTGTTTTTATCAGCCAGTTTCGTGACTGGGGTTGACAACTGGTTTCTTTCATCAATGAGAAACTTGTCGCTTTACATTTATAAGCTAAGATTACCAGGAGGCTTGGGAATGATAGTTTTCTTTGCTTCTATATAGGCTTCCTTGCCATTAATACTTTAAACATTTGATTTTGTAAATAATTTAGTTAGAATAGTGTATATTATCTTTAAAATTTCTGTATACTGTTGTTGTATTCGTATGTGGTTATTGGCAAAAATAAATGAATTAATGAATGAATACGCGCTAAGAAAGAACACTAGACACTAGTCTTCACAGGTTTTCGCCTTTTTTTAAGGCCAGACAGAGAGAGTCATAGAGTACTTGAATTATAAAATTAGAGACGCAAACTAAGTTCAATTATGTTGATTTAAAGTTAAAAGCGACGCGTTCGTATGTACACTAAGCCAGATTTAAATCAACAAAACATGTTTAATTCGAACAGTTGTATGTAACGACACAAAACTCAGCTGAGTAACAACTGAAGATAAAAATTACCTTTGGAATAGAACTCATCTTTGCCTCTTCAACTTGTTTATTGATTTGCTCTTTTTTATTTATCTTTTTGGGCTATTAATTACAGTCGAATTGAATTACTGTCAATCCGCAGCCTTGCTGAAGAACTCTCCTTAAATTGAAAAGTTGATTTGTAGAAACGTGTTTAACTTTGGTTTAAATGGGGCTTAAACAAGGTCAACTACTTTTCAGCATATAGTTTTGAGTAGCGATATGATTTACATTTCCCATTATGAATAGCCAGTGCAGCTGAATAATAATGTCGTAATAAGCATCACTTATTTTGTGTTTTTACTATGAATAAACTTCATAACATTCAGGTAATAAACGTTCAGCTGCTGTAAAATTGTAACTTACTTTGTGTCTGTTCTCGTTTTGGTTCTCGTCAACTGAAGTCAAGAAAGCCTTCTCTTTCCCCGCGCATGCACAAAAGTCATCCGGCTCCCTGGTCTTGCTGCAGACTTTAAATAATAGTTTTACAAATTGGGTCTCCTGTGTAATCGGGCCGAGGACACGTGATTCTACAAGGTTCATTCCAGTTTATAGTCTAGTGGTCATCAGAACGTAGGTGATAGTAAATACCAATGGAGTAAAGGAGCTTTGTTCGACTTCTAGCACCCTGCCGGCCTACACATAATTATGCGGAATGTAATCTATGCAGAATGACTCAAAGAAATAAGTTAAACTTAAAATTGCGCCCTTTTTTGGGGCCAATCAATTCACAAGCAGTCACTTTTTTAATGTTGGGGGCTCGACTACGATGACAATCAAAAAACCAGGAAGGACTCCTTGGTTTCTCACGGTCGATTAACAACATACCCTCCCACCCCCCTACACTCCCCCTTAGCCAGTATAACCCCCTCCTCCCAATTGCCGGTCCTCCATATACCCAATAGACAGCGAAAACATCGCTTAAAAATTGAATTCACGTTCTTTCACTCTCCATCGCGATTATTCCAAATAACTTTGAATTCTTTGTCAATTGTAGTTCTCCTGGCGTTGAATTCCTACGAAAGATATTCAAGCTCAGAAAGAGATCGAAAATTTCGTCGCTACTCGTTTACGTCCTCCATGAAATTTCAAAGTAGGAAGTTTCAAGTCGTAGTCGTGCAGGGACGGAAGGAGATGTACCAAAAAGCGTGCTGCACAGCAAAATTATTCTTATCAATGACTAATGTAACCATACCTCTATTGCGTTTTTGACGTTTTCGTTGCCGTTGAACACACTGTACCCCAAGCTTGTCCCCAGGGTTCTCTCTCTATCTCTCCTGCAAAGCAAACCGTGGGAACGAGGTTCACCGTATCCGCACTTCTTCTGGGATTTAACTCGGCATGTATTTTGGGAAGGGGCAGGGGAGTTATAAGATAGCACTGCTTTTCAAACTCAGCTTAGTTCTAAGACATATTATTAATGGCATTATATCATTGTTTTAGTGCCTATTGTCAACCATTTTAGTCTAGTTCGTGAAAGTATACATGTAGATTTTTTTCTTTGTCTCGCAACCCTAACCCAAATAGTTGGTGTTAAGAAAAAATAAGAGAATCAAACTGGTTGAAGTAGTTAAAACCTTTTTGACCTGATTTTCATTTTGAACTCCAGTATATCGTGTACAAAATCAATGTTGTATGCTAAGCCGATCATTCAAATCATTGGCAAGAACCTTCCGTGACTAATAATTCACACACAAAAAAATGCCGACACACAAGACCAGAAGACTGTTCAGCTTGGCTCATTTTCCCAACATCCCGCACGGTACCTAGCTAAAAAATCAGGCGAAACACTTCTTCAAGAACTGATTGAGTGTAAAGTTTGTTACGTCAACCAACAGAGATTTACAGTCGCGTTTATGGCAAACGGCAAACGTCAGATTCAAGTTGAGAATTTCTAAAAAAAAAAAAAAAACAAATAAGCAGATAAAAGCCGTCCAGAACAATTCTTATGGATAAAACTGGCTTGAAAACCACTCATTTTTGTGTAGAAGTAATTTACAGTTAACGACAATTAAAGGGAAAACTTAGTCATGTAGTTCAAATTGGCTTTAACGTGACTCTGAATCTATAAAAATGAATCATTGTTGGAGAGTTTGTCAATTTTAAACAGTTATTGGAAGGTTTGTGTGTTATCCGAAATAATCAAGGTCGAGGTACATGTAAGTGTTATCAGCCGAACCGGAGGTCGAGGCTGATAACACTTACCAAGACCTTGATGATTTTTGCGGATATCAGAAAAGCCAAATCTAATATAATTGTTTTACTGTGCAAGAAAATAGCGACAGACACATCGTCGCAAGTAACCGAATTGACATTGCTCTTGTAAATCCTGCATTACGCGCGCAATAATCGAACTATTCTGTACAGGGCGGATAAAGGTTGGGCGGTGAAACGAGCGCGTCCGAGCAAAAAGGTGTGATGCAATGGACTGGGACTCTGCTTAGAAATGTCGCTTGTTTTCGACTTCGGTCAGGGCTTGCGATGTGGTTTGTACATTAGACACTGCCGCTGTCACTGAATTATGGCGGCGTGATTTCTTTCTGCACTTCTTCCTCGTTCCTTTGTGCTGGTACGCTGTCTCCGAGAGGCAAATTGTTGCTATTTTTTGCGGGAGGTTTTGTTGGAGTAGACAAACATCTATTTCAAAGGGTTTCTCTTATTACTTCCATGACTCTACCACTGAATTATATTTTCGTTCTACCACTCGCCAATGTCGATGTTATTCCAAAACAAAAACAACTAAGTACTGTCTAAAACAGGAAGGAAAATCTCATCCATGTCATTCATGGCAAAACTAAACGACAGCAGATCGTGTTTCATAACTAGATGACGTGTATTTTATAAATGCGTGCAGCTCGTGCAAGGTGAAATAATGCTAATTTCAATCACTATCATCCTTCTTTTCAATTTTGAAAAAAAAAACATCTCATACGTCTTTCTGTTTCTTCGAAACTTCAAAATTAGTTTCCCCTCAGTTTTTACTGTTTACCTTGTTTTGTTTTAGAGAGAAAAACGGAAAAAAAACCTTGCAACTATTCTCAATAAATTTTGTTTACATGCGGTTGCCGGATTTGCGATTCATTGCGCGAATCACCATGGCGCGTTGCACCCGAGAAGCAAAGTTTGAAGCAGTACAACGCCGCTATATCAAAATATATCTATCTAATTTTTTGTTATGTTATATAAAAGTTATCCCCCTTTAACATATGTGAAAATTGAGGTTAAGAAGTGTTAAGCTTTTGCAAACGAAACGGCGAAAGACAATTAGCTGATATTTAGTGGAAGGAGGAGTTATTCAACTCTTTCAAATTAAACTAAAATTTTGGCATTATACGACCAACAAGTTTGACTTATAGGCATACAGACACAAACATATGAAACTGTTTATTGATATCGTTATGAAACGAATTTATCTGTTTAACATTGTAGCCTGAAATTAAAGAAAGAAAATAGGATTTCCGGTTTGCAAAAAGGAAAATTTCGCCGGCCTTCAAGCGCACCGGAAGCGCGGAAATTGCGCTCGTGCCAGTCCTACTCCGCATCACACATTAAATGAAGAGCGGAGCGCTCGTTTCACCGCCCAACTTTTATCCGCCCTGATTCTGTAGCTAGGTTGGGCTGATGTCCACAGTTAACTGCTATGGTT